CAAAGGACCAGCATAAACCAGCAAAGGACCAGCTTAAACCAGCAAAGGACCAGTTTAAACCAGCAAAGGACCAGCATAAACCAGCAAAGGACCAGCTTAAACCAGCATCCCAGCGTCAAAACATACCTAACCAGCATATGCTGTTTTTTTCAACAGGGAAATAATATTTTAATTCATTAATTTTGCAAATGCTTTTATCAAAGCTACTCAAAATGCATTCAAAGTACATGCTTTATCAGTATAATAGAAATCTATAAATGTATATGTATGTATATACTGTAAAAGACTGCTGTTCCTCGTTGATGTTTTTTTCTGTTCACACCGCAATTAGACCCGCCCACTTGAAAACTCTTCAAACTTTCCTTCGGAGACTTACTAGACCTGTCATCTTAGATGGTGTACTGTAATTTATTATCACAATCTTCTCATTAAACCAACTAAGCCTTTCATGTTAAACAGTGTTCATTTTGTGAAATTAAGTTTTGTGTTTTTATCAAAAGCGGCTCACAGTAAAATAAAGTTATATATTATAATCAGCATATAATAAAAGTCTGGAGGCATATCCAGTTTACGTTGGTTAAAGAATGTCCTTATTAAGCAGTACGCCCATTTTGCAGAGGTTTAACACAAATATATCATGCTGAAAAGAAAACTATGTTGTTTTGCCACCCCCCTGAAGTTGAAACCAATTTCTGCCATGGTTTTAAATCTTTTGAGGCCTATTATTTACCCTAAAATCTTATTTTTAATGAGCCAGTTGAGGGCAAAACCAGGAGTCCAGTCTTGGCCAAGAGTTGGTTATTTCTACAGCGAATGCACACTAAGATAGTCTAAGTGGGCCTGTAAAAGGATGCGGGCTGGCGCTTAAAGAGCCACACGGTTTGCATGGAATAATACTACACTTTATAAAAAACTCCATCATCGACCATGGGCGATTTAATGGCTAAATTTATGAGGGGGCACATTTGTTCATATGTTCACTGTATACGCCAAATAAGCTAAGCAGTAAATGAAAGTAATGGTATGCATTTTGTCCTCTCTTTTTTAGCCTTCAGCCGGGAGTGCTCTTGGATCACAAGCTTGAAGTTTGCGTCTGAAGAGCTCATTGGAAAGGAAGAGATTTATTGCGGGTGAGGCACGTTTAACGGCGCTTCAGGAGTCGCACAGCAGGGGCCAATGGGAGTGTGGAAGCTGGCCAAGGTGGTGCTCGGATGGACTGCGATCTGGTGGGCCGCGGTCCATTCAGCGCAGGCGCAAGGAGATGGAGACATCCAGGCCAGTCGATTCACTGGAAAACCTGAGGGGGAGGTGCAACAGAGGGTCCGTCGGAGAGGCCAGGAGTCCCTCAGGGGGTAAGAGTTTTTTTTTCAGTCACGTCCTGCTCCTGTTCTCTGTCAGTTTCATTCTTGAAGTGGACATTCTAATGGTTTAACCATATGAGTCAGAGGTTTTAACTCAACTTTTATTACCCAAAGTACAGTATATTCATTTGGGGGTTGGTATATCTCATTTTTAAAGCTTGAATTCAAAGCTAGCATCAGCTAGCAACCTGTTGTGCTGTTTGGGTTAAAGCCAAACTGGGTTGAAAGCACTATTGGTCCCGTATGTGATAGAGCCAGCTGCAGAAGTGTTGTGAATCTACTGTGAAGTAATTTTAAGTACTGAAATGCCTCAGTATGTTGGTCATGACAACAGGAGCGTCATTTCCTGCTGATAATTTAAGCCGTTGAAAGATATTATTGTTTGGTTATCGTAAATTTTATGTCTATATATTTTCTAGACGAATGCATGGTGTTTTAGGTCTCTAGTTGAAAATTGAGGTAAACACACTTAAATGTATTATAAGAGGAGTGATTAATATGATATGACATGATAGATATTTTTCCAAGCCTTCCAGTGCCTCAGCATCTGCATTTGTCTCCACAAAGCCAAAGCTGTGTATTTTTCTCATTTTGAGAAAACAATGGTTGTTTTGTGTTGTGCGGCCCTCATATGTTCGAAACAGTTATTTCAATCATCCTCTCATCTGTACTTGCTTATAACTCCCCTGCAAACTGCAACAGGAAATGAGGTATTCTGATTACTCGGAGGGGCTCCAACAAGGGACATTTGTTTTTAAGCTGGAGGTGAGAAAGAGCATTTCACAACAGAGATATGTCTCTAACTCTTGGATCCTTATTTAATCAGGAAAAGGTCTTTTCAGCTAAGGTCTGAGACAAATCTAGCAATGTCAAACAGACAATTTGAGTCCATTAGATTAGGACTGTGGTTAGTGGTCCAGTTGAGACTGAAATTCAGAAACAATAGCACCATTCTGTATGTGTACCCCAGTACCAGAAGTGGGACCAATAGCAGTTGACCTGTATTGTACTCAAAAATTAGTTAACTGAACACTTTGGGCAATTTTCCAGGTAAACTAAGAGGGAGTATCTGATCCGGTCAGTGGAGCAGAACCATATGGCACCGAGTCAATTGAGAAATGTGTCACAGTACCCTTTTGAGAGCCCATGCTAAACACAAACTAGCCCAAAGGGATGTAGGGACTTGCACTGTTTCCAGATTTTTTCCCGTCCAACAGTTCCCTTTGTAAAGGCAAGCTAAACTTAAAGGGTTAGTTCACCCAAAAATGAAAATTTGGCTGTGTTTTACTCACCCCCGAGGCATCCTAGGTGTATATGACTTTCTTCTTTCAGACGAATCCAGTCGGAGTTATATTAAAAATTGTCTTTGATCTTTCAAGCTCTATCATTGCAGTCAGCGGGTGTTGCATTGCTTCAGTTCAAACGAAGTTAAATAAAAAGCGCTCATCCATAAAAAAAAGTGTCTCACACGGCTCCGGTGGGTGAACAAAGGCCTCCTGTAGCGAATCGATGCGTTTTTGTAAGAAAAATA